CAGGGTCTGATCGCATGAAGTAAAGTGTGCTATCAATGGAAACTGTTTGTGACCGAAAGTTCAGTGATAGTGGCAGCTTAATGTTTGGGGGCATGCTTCCAGGTCGACTCCATGAATTCTTCACTGAGTCATAAACTTCATACTCTCCATCACAACCCACCCACAGGATCTTGTAGCCTCTGCCGGTTGAATACCCGTTCAGAGTCATACCCACAGCAACACGTGACCACACTTTAACTGACCTAGCTGGCAACTCTTTAAATGACTGAGTCAAAGGGTTGCAGACATAAAAGTTCCTATGACCAATATCAAGAAAGCAAACTAGACCACCTGCAGAAGCAACTGGCAGAGCAATCATCTTTGCTGGCAGAAAAGTGATTGTGGGGTGGTGCCATTTCCTAAAGGAGGGGTCATACATGGCTCCAACATTCATATTTTCATGAGTAATGGTATAGAACCAGGGATTGGCTTGTGGCACTTCGGCACAATGCTGAGAGAAACTTTGTGAGTCCAGCAAAGAATTCCATTTACGGCATACTGAGCGGAAGCGAAAATATGTGGCAACAGGAAGTCTAGCAATGACAGCTTCAAAAAGGTCTTCTGGGAATTCTTTCCAAATAACTTGTTCCATAACCTCATGTGTAGGGGTACTTCCAGGTAATTTCCCTCGGTTCCGCTCCTTTCGTGATTTCTTGCTAGGCGGAGGCATGAAAGATTCCAACATCTTACAACTTCCAGATTTCCCAGCAGCCATTACGAGACTGTAGTAATCATCTGCAGAAGTATCATCGCTATTGGGGAAGCACCACCTGTATGGAAGCTAACATGAGTTAGTCATGTTTCCTACTTTCTACTTAAATTTGATATAACCTGAATGATTACTAGATAACTACAATAAATTTTAGAGCAGTTGCTTAAACATGTTTAAATCTTTAGTAGTAGTGCCAATTGCACCATTGAGCACCTCACAGGGTACATATTTAGAATTATTATGATCTGTTTAGTTTAAGCAAGCCTAAAGAGTAGGGGAGAGCAACGGTCGGTTGGAACCGCCCAACCGACCGCAACCGACTGTTA